TACACTTTGTTTTGTTTAATGCTTATTTATTTTGAGAGAGAGAGAGAGAACACACAGGGGAGGGGTAGGGAGAGAGAAGGAGAGAGAGAATCCCAAGCAGGCTCTGCAGTCTCAGCACGGAACCCTGTCACAGGGCTCAGTCCCACAAACCGTAAGATCATGACCTGAGCCAAAACCAAGATTTGGATGCTTAAGCGACTGAGCCACCCCTAAAACTGGTGGCCCTAAAACTGCTTTACACTTTAATTCAGTAAAACATTTACTGGACACATTGTATGTATAAATCATCCTGTTGAGAATTGCAAGAAATCCAGCAATAATTAAGGTATGTTTTCTCTTTTCAAGGAGTTTATAATTTAATAACTTACTAGGACACCTAGGAAGATTAAATAAGGACTAAAATATTATAAATAAAGTATTTGGGGATACAGAAAAGAAAAAAACCAGAAATAGTGATTTTTTGTTGAAAAGACTTTTTTGTTGAAAATATTGCAGTTGACATTGGTGGTGAGCACCAGGTGTTGTATGTAAGTGTTGAATCACTAAACTGTACACCTGAAACTAATATTACACTGTGTTACTGAAATTTAAATAAAAATTTTAGAAGATATTGCAGATGACTTTGGGAGGTTGATTATGAATCATGTTTTACTCAGTTTTTTTTTTTTTGTTCTTAATGGATGGATGATGTGATGAGAATGTGACAAGAATATTCCACTACAGATCAGCATTATCTGACTTCAAATATTTCTTTTGTACTCTATCCCCATCACTTAAGTCATTTTGGAGCCTAACCTTAACCCAAAACCCTCTATTATATTTTTTATGACAGTATTTTTTTAAAAAAATCAAAATAGGACAAGACAAGTTGGAATAAGCTTCAGAAAGGGGAGCAAAGGAGAAAAGTGAAGGAGATAAAGATTTATCTCTTCATGACTCCAAATGCCAGATGTTATCACAAGAGCACTAGACATTTCCCTCCCTCTGTGTCTGTAGATAATGGCCTCATGGCCACAGACTGTTAAATGTAACCAGGTCTTATGTTCAGAAAGAGGGTCTACTGAAATGATGAGAATCAAGTAGGTCAAACCATTCCTCTGTAGTCAAGTACTGGGAGTGGGGGGGGGGGGTTGGGGTTTGCAGATACAGCTTAGATTCAACGCCATTGGCTCATATCTCTGGGTCCTGTTTCCCTAGATTCAAATTTTGGATCCCTTAATTTTTAGTTGAGCTTTGGGTGAATGATTTAAATGCTCTATGTCTCAATTTCCTCACCTGTAAAATGGATATTAATGTGGTATCTTTTTCACAAGACTGTTTTAAGAACTCAAGGCATTGATTCAGGTAAAGCAGTAAAACGTATCTGGTGGATAATAAGCACTCAACACATTATAGTCGTTGTATTATCCTATAGATGGATCAATAACATCATCTTCTTATATAGAGCACAGTTGGTCTCTACCAAAAGATGTTGTTTTAAGGCCGACATTATTTGAAATGTATTATTTGTATATTTTTGAAAATAAATGAAAAATTATAATCAAAAATTATTATGGTGTATTATTAAGCCATTATGTTTAACCCCCTTGTTTTCCTTCCTCTTATGGAGAAAGGAGAAAGAAATACCTTTAAGAATCATTTATGTGGAAAGATATTTGGATAAATAGTATGACAAGTTATGAAAGTTTATAAAAATTTAAAAAAGATAGGGGCACCTCGGTGGCTCATTCAGTTAGGCATCCAAATTCAGCTCAGGTCATGATCTCGTCATTTGTGTGTTCGAGCCCCACATCGGGCTCTGTGCTGATAGCTCAGAGCCCGGAGCCTGCCTCAGATTCTGTACCTCCCTCTCTCTCTGCACCCCCCTCCCCACTAGCTCACACACTCTCTCTCTCTCTCAAAAGTAAATATTAGAAGAAAATTTAAAGAAAGATAAGTAATATAGTATGAGCACTGGTTTTATTTCAGTTTGAAATAATATGTAATATGCTAACCATTTGTACATTATAGGACAAGTATTCAAATTTTCATTATACACTTGTATTGTATCTTTAATCTTTTGTCCTTACTATTTGCTAAACTACTCATGAGCATTGAACAAGGACAATATAATAATTTATAATCCTTCCACCTGATAATTAATTGTGACTGAAAGAAACATGGTAATGATAGTGCCCACTAATGAGCAACACTGGATTTGGTCATTCTAAAGCATGGTGACAAATTATAATTGTCTGAATTCAATCCAGACCACTGTAGAGTCACTTAGACTCAACATTTTTCTTAAAAATGACTTTTCCTACTTAGTAACAATGTTGGCAAAAGTATCTCCTTGACTTCTTCACCAAAAAAGAATTATCTCCCAAATAATATCTGAGAACATACTGTTATAGACTGATGCTATATTCTCTCTCTCACTACATAATCTTGAAGGGTAACTTAAGATATTTAAAGTGTATGGGGGCACCTGGGTGGCTCAGCTGGCTAAGTGTTCAGTGTCTGCTCAGGTCATGATCTCATGGTTCATGAGTTCAAGCCCTGGGCTTTGCGTTGACACCTCAGAGCCTGGAGCCTACTTTGGATTCTGTGTCTCCCTCTTTCTTTGCCCTCCTCCACTTGCACTCTGTCTCTGTCTCTCTCTCTCTCTCTCTCTCAAAAATAAACATTAAAAATTTTTTAAAAAGATATTTAAGTCTATGTGCGTATGTCTGCACATGCATATATACGTATTTCTCTGTCTTAATATGCTGTTTCTTGTATATGTCCATATATGTGGAGACGTTCTCTATTCTTTTCATTAGTGGTAATTAAATGCAAAACTGCAGAAGTGTACTCTCAGATCTTATGGCAGAGGGAGGGACATCCTGGGTGTAACATGATCCATCTCAGTCAGTAGTTCTCAAATTTGATTGCATATTGGAATCTCCTGGGAAATGGAGACACTCAGATTTTTTTATTTTTTATTTATTTATTTTTTTTTTTGGTAAAAATCTACCCAGGTTATTGTAAAGTACAGCCAAGTTCTCAGACCATTAGTTTAAAATCAGCAACTAGGTATTGCTTCTACTTTCTCATCCAATCCTTATTACCTAGATCCTGCCAATCTCTGAGTAAGATACTCTTTGAGTTTACTAATGTTGACAATTTTTTTTCTATTTTATCCTGTAACAACGTACATATTTGAGGAATGTCTACTTAATTCAAAGGAATTAATAATTGCTCATACCAATACATATCAGGCACCATGCTAGCTACCAGTGGAAATACAAAAATGAATTCAGTGTAGCATTTGCAATCAAGTTGCTAGAACTATGTGGAAAGAGACAAACACATACATAAAGAGGTTTTCATTTCAGAAAGGCTTTAATGTAGTTTTCTCAACACTGGCTACACATTTAAATCACCTGGAGAGTTTAAAAAACCTGCTGATGGCCAGCCACACCCTCAGAAATGCTGTTGTTAAATCTGGGCTGCATCAGAATTCTTTAATGTTCCTCAGGTGAGTGACTCTCCAGAATTCACAGCCGTAAAGCAAAGTGCTATGGCAATGAGGAAAAGAAAGTTTTTTGAGGAAGAGGTAGCATTTAATGAAAGCTATTCATCATGAGCTAGAATCTCTACGTGAATCTACTTGTTTACTCATCACAGTGACCCTTGAAGTTGTTGTTACAATGATCTATTTTTTACAAGTGAATAAACGGAGTCACAGAAAAATTAATTCACTCTCCACGGCCAAGCAGGCGGGGGAGCTCAAGCTAGAACCCAGGGAGTCTGACTTTAAGGCTTCTTCTCCCACCTCTTATGCTCTTCCTAAGGGGAATTCAGGGAGTAAATGAATGAAAAGCACTATGGAGTAGTGTTTGCAGGCAAGGGCTCTGGAGCCAGTCTTGTGCCTGTTTGAATTCTGGCTCTGTCACTAACTAGCTGAGTCCCCTAACTTCTTTGTGCCTCGGTTTTCCCATATGTACCTTTGGAATAATAAGAGCACTTTTTTCATGGCGTCGTTGTGAGGATGAAATGAGTTGTTACATAAATATTAGGAATCATAATTGGTGTTCTGAGGAAAAGAACAGCTATTAGGGTAATGGAAATGCCTGGTTGTGGAACAGTGAGGAATTCAGTGTGCTGGAGGATGGGAAGCAGAGTGGCCTCTAGTCAGCATGCCTGTAATTCTAGGTTCACATCCATTGCTCTACTGTAGTAATCAATAGTGCCTGCTTTTCTCTTACATGTGTCCCCGTTGGGACAATAAAGAGATCTACCATAGCTATAATATGTCGGGGGTAACAGCCCAGGTGAGAGGGTTAGAGGTATAACTACTCAGAAGACTTTGAGTTGGGAAGTGCTATAGTCAGAAAAAAATAAGGTCTGTGCTTTATAAAGATAACTCAGGCAACGGTGTGTTGTATGGATCGCAAATTACAAAACTTAACAGTTTCTAAATGCAAAGCAGTATAAACACGTGCCTTGAAAGATACGGTGGGCATTGGACATAAATTAAGGGGAGAAGGGTTGAAAATGGGATGAACCCTAGCAAGACTGAATCTATCATCTTTAAAGTCAGGTATCAAGCCAGGAATTGTTTCATTATTAAGGCCACGTGTGACCTGAAACACTCAGAAAGATCAGGCCTCAGTAAGCTTGGCCAAATTGCCAGTGGTGTGTGGGTTGGGATTTTCCCCACCACAGGAAAGAGCAATTCAGGACAGACTAGAAAACGCAGTGTCCTGTCTGTCTTTGTGGCCCATAGCCTGGAATTGGGGACTAGGTGAGCAAGCTCAACTGTGCGACACTAATGGAATAAAGAATTAAGAAAGAGGGGTCGTTGCTGTCAGCTCTTAGGACAAGTAACTGCCATTCATTTGAAAACACACGAGTGTGGCTCTTAGGAAGTGCAGTTAAGTTTATCATTGTTTTCCTTACCTTGATTTTCAAGTCGATAAGATTTCTCAATCCAAGATCCTTTTAAAAGAACATATCACTCTCATATAACATGCCAGGAACATGGCAAATAACAAGTGTGACTGTGAAGTGAACCTATGACTGGAAACTGAAGCCAGAATCTCTGCATTCCTTGCAAGTACCCATGGTTCCTTTGATTATACTCCGGGCTTGTAAACAGGAAAGTGTTTCACAGATGTAGAAAATCCAAGAGGTAAGCCAAAAACTATAATAAATATATGGTCTGGCAGAACCAAACTATATTAAAGCAAGATGATCTACTAAGAGAGAGGAATATTTTGGAGAAATAGTAGCAACAATGGAATCATACTGAAAAAGCTACTTATTTGAAAAAGCTTAGTAACTGAGAGAGTGATCATCAATTTTGATAAATATAACAAAGATGTAGAAAATAAAATGAGGGGAAGGTCTACATTTAAAAAATCACAACTTTAAGTGAAAAATTAAGTCTCTTTGAGAGAGAGAGAGATTGAGAGAGAGGCAACCTAGAGTTCATTTCTTTTGTGGTGATAACTGAAAATATTTTATAATCCCTCTAATATACTTCTATTAAATATCTCTTTCTTGTTTTACTGATTCATGTTTGTCTAAATTCTAAGGTTTTACAGATTCTTTAGTATTGTATTGCTTTTATTCAGATTTCTATGTAACATTAAGTAAACTCTAATGCCAATATCAATTTCATATAATTTGGTAGTGAATCAGACCAACAACTTAAGACGTAGTTTTCAGAGAAAGTCCAATTGTGTTTAAAAACATCTGCAAAGTTGGGTGCCTGGGTGGTCAGCCGGTTGAATGGCCGACTTCAGCTCAGGTCATGATCTCGCAGTTTGTGAGTTCGAGCCCCGCGTCGGGTTCTGTGCTGACAGCTCAGAGCCTGGAGCCTGCTTCGGAATCTGTGTTTCCCTCTCTCTGCCCCTCCCCGCCTCGCACTCTGTCTCTCTCTCAAAAATAAATAAACATTTGGGGCGCCTGGGTGGCGCAGTCGGTTAAGCGTCCGACTTCGGCCAGGTCACGACCTCGCGGTCCGTGAGTTTGAGCCCCGCGTCGGGCTCTGGGCTGATGGCTCGGAGCCTGGAGCCTGTTTCCGATTCTGTGTCTCCCTCTCTCTCTGCCCCTCCCCCGTTCATGCTCTGTCTCTCTCTGTCCCAAAAATAATAAACGTTAAAAAAAAAAATTTAAAAATAAATAAACATTAAAAAAAAAAAAGCCCTGCAAAGTACTTTCTTCCCCATAATATCTTAAAGACACGCGTGAAGTTGACTGAGGCTGTCAGACATGAAGTATTTCAATCTCAATCAAAGCTATCATTCCACAAGAGTAAGAATTTGTTCCATTTATTAGCAATGAACATGTGGCTTATCACTTGACTCATTAGCACACTTACGTGAACACAGTGAGCTTGTAATTTCCCAGAATTCCTTTCACTTCTCACTTGCTCTGGCAGAAAGTCACTGTGGTGACATCTGTTTCTTGTAGAGCTATCAAGAACGATAAGCAGCTTCTTGTGTTGCATAACTCATGGATTTTTCCCCCTATTCTCCAACAGCTAATATGCTCCTTTTCTGCCATATGGAAAAGATAAATACCAGAACCTAAAATATCAGAGTAGAAGAGAAATAAGAATGAAACTCTTTGAACATTGACCATGGAGGAAATACTTATGGAGTATGTTCAAAGGTGTTTGACTTTTTTGTTATTGTTATTAAATTAGTGATCACATCAAAAGTACGTTAGCTAGCAAAAAATTTCCTTTATGTTACTCTATTCAAAAATTCAAATGGGCACAAAGTGTTAAAACCATACCTCGTTTCCAGTTATTTATTGCTATGTAACAAAACACCCCAAAATTTGTTGGCTTGAAATTACGTTTTATTATTAAGCTAAGGACTCTAGCTCAACTGAGCCCAGCGGAGCCTTCTCAGCTGCAGTCCCTCACACAGTCGCACAATAGCTAGTGATAGAATCATCTGTAGACTGGACTTGACTAGATGATCATGATGGCTCACTCATGGCTAGCAGTTGATGAAAGTTGTTGGCTGGGAGCTCAGCTGGAACTGTAAACATTAGCACTTAGACCCAACCCACCTCTCCATGTGATTTGGGTTTCTCATGCGTGGTAGATTGGTTTTAAGATGGACTATCCAAAGAGCAGTGTCCCATGATACTCAGACAATAAGAGACAAAATTTCTTATGACCCAAAATCAGAAGTCATGTGGTATCACTTCTGTCATATTCTTCGGTTCAAAAAGTAAGCCACAATGTGAGCTTAAATTTGAGAGGAAGAAACCACACGAGGGCCCAAATCGTAGGAGGCATGTCTCATTGGGGGGCCCTTTGAAAATAAGTTACCAGACCTCAAATTAAAACTTTCTATGGAAATCCAGAGGGATACTACATGTGAAAAATACTTAAATTTAAAGAATTTAGAGATTCAGGATCCAATTTGATAGTCAACGCCTAATTTCATTCAGTGTCTCAAAGATTATTATACACAATAATCAACTATATTGAGTTTCATCTTCATGATCATATGTTAATAAAAATATGTTTGTAAATCAGTTTTCACATTATTCCCATTACTGCAATGTTTGAATTTTAGGTAAAAATTTTTCTCTTTTTTATTAATGATCACTTCAAATAATGATGGCTAGCATTTATTAAGCATTCACAATGTTCCAGAAATTGTCAATCCTAAACAAGTCTGTAAGATAAATAAAATTATTATTCCAACTTTGTAAACTTATCACTAGAGAAAGGATTCAGAGATTAAGAATTTGCTAAGAATCACATAGCTGGTGACTTGACCCTAGGGAATATGAATCCAAAGTTCATACTCTTAAATATAAAAGTTGCTCACAAAGTCCTGTACTTAGACACAGTATCTCAGTTACTAGTAATAAGGTCATGTTACCCTGCAATGGAATTTAGGGCAGAATTTTAAGCAGTGTCAATTTCCTCCAGCCAAAAAGCACCAGGAATATACCTATACTTGAAGAAGCTGAGTATGTTACACATTGCACTGTTAAAGAACACGTAACGTGGAAACATGAGGTGTCTCTGTAAGAGAGTTTTAGAAATAGCCTTAGTGTTTGGGCTTTGGTGGGGTGACTTTGAGGATGGCTTAAGGAAGTGGGGATTTGTTCTAGATTAGATGCTGTCAGAAAGCAGGAGCAAATCGATGCTTGGGTAAGTCAAAAAAGCCTATACATAAGAAGTGCAGATTAGAGTGATGATAAAGCTGTAATTGGCAAAGAAGTATCAGTCACTCCAGTTAGTCAGGAGAGAGAGACGCTTGGTATTTTGTGGTTTGCACAATGACCTCGTTTTTGTTGGCATTTAGACAAAATTATGAAATGGTCTTGTTTTTGTCTCAGTTTATCATGGTTTCAGAGTGAACTTGTCTCATGTTGGTGTACTGTGAGATTTGTTTATGTCCAAAAGGAGAACAACATGGCCCAGCTGTGCAGGCCAGATCAGCTTCTACGAACACAGAGGACTTGCTATGAGTGTCAGACTGGTTCCTAGATGTCAGGGACTGCTTTTATTATTTCTTAGTAGGGTGACTTTTTTGCGCGAATATAGTGTGTCCTATTTATTTGACATTATTATTTTACTTTAACACTTAGGGTGCTGAATCAACTATCTAAACAAAAATACTGTATATGTATATGCAACTTATAATATTTAAGTGATATTACTAATACAAATATTTTATTAAAGATAATTTTACTTTTAACGATCAATATACAATATGCATCAGATTTTTAAATGTGGTATCATTATATTTTGGAGGAAAGCTTTCCTGCAAAAGAACAAATATCTGAATTTTTAATGAGATTAAGGAGATAACGTTTAATTTATTGACACACTGATTTTATATTAATTAGGCATATGTTTTAATATTTATATTAAGGTGTTACTTTCACATTAATTGCTTTTGGCATTATTTGCTATAACATTTACACTAAAAGAAAAGATCAGGGGTTTTGTACTCATATACTGAGAAGTCAACATGATACATAAGATTCATAGGAATTCTGTTTTAGGTTAATTGTTGGTAATATACTGGAAACAAATGAAGGCTTTTTATCCCACTTGGCCATCTTGGCTGACTGGGTTAAAAGCCATTAAACCTTAAGGCAGGGTTTAGAAAATCAGATGGGACACCATACAGCAGTTGCTAGAATTCAGTATTTGGGCTAAGGAGCATCACAAGGTACTTTGGTAGGAAAAAAAAAAAAAAAGAAAGAAAGAAAGAAAGAAAGGAAAGGAAAGGAAAGAAAGAAAAGAAAAGAAACCCATTTCTAGTTCCTAAAATATACTAAGTTTCATTTCTTGGACTATATCTTCCTTTTTATACTTCAAGATTCTGGCTCAGTTCTTAAGTCCTTTGTTTGAAATAAATGCCCATTCTTAGACAACCCTATGATCCTGTTCACAGCTCTATCTGTATTTTTGTCTGTCTCCTTCGCTAGACTATGGACACTTCAAGTATGAGGTCATTCATCTCCTTACCTCGGTGCCTAACACAACGTTTGCCATTTAATGGGTGCTCAAAAAAAAAAAAAGCCTATTGAATGAATAAAGGAATGAACAAATGGATATTTTTATTCTCAGTTCATTAATAAATTGGCTTAAAATTTTTTCTTTCTCATAATTAACAAAGTTGTTAAACTCTGATAAATGAAATTGAAACAATTCCATGAAACACTACAATAAACAGTTTACTTTAAAAATAAAGTGATATTCTAACTTATGTATGATCTCACTTACTAATCCTTGATGTGAAATTGCATCTTTTTTTTTTTCTGCACCCAGAAAACAAGATAGATGTTTTCTAAAGACAGTTTTATTGTTTTGTTTTTGGAATTTGTTTTAGAGAATGCAAAACAGGTGTGGATCATCTGTTGTCATTTAAAGAAACTTATAAATACATTTTTGAGTGTATATCTAGAAAACACATGCAAAATGAACTTAATTTCCAATGTGAATAAAACAAATATTGGTATTTATAAATAGTACATTAAAGTCTTTTAAATTAATATCATAACTTCAAAATAATAAACTCCAGTGGCTAGTGTATTAAGAGAAGAACAAATAAAGTAAACTTGTTAATTCAAAAATATTTATAGTCAGATATACTCAGACTGTTATTCAAGACAAATACATAATATTTCTTTTGAAATCAGATTTTGTGAAAAAACTTTTGTTCTATAAATTAGTAGATGACAATTATGGAATTTACTTTGTTTTGTTGATTCTTCCCATTGCTAAATTTAAAATTGTCAAACTAAAAAAAGACCACCACCAACAACAACAAATACTTCCAGGAATTCAAGTGCACCAATAAATAATAATTCCATAAAGTATAATACTAACTGGATTAATTTTTGCATCTCTTACAATCCCATGTGTAAAGAAGATCTTGTTGGTCCATAAATATTTTGAGAGAAATGTAAGAAGATATTCAAGGAGTCATTTTTCTTTGTTAAAGAAGAAACTTAGAAATATTTTACTCATGGGGCACCTGGGTAGCTCAGTCAGTTAAGCATCCGACTTCAGCTCAGGTCATGATCTCACAGTTGATGAGTTTGAGCCCCACGTAGGGCTCTGTGCTGACAGCTTGGGGCTTGGAGACTGCTTCAGAATCTGTGTCTCCCTCTCTCTCTGCCCCTCTCCCACTCACACTCTCTCTCGCTCAAGAATAAATAAGCATTAAAAAATTTTTTTTAAATACTTTACTCATGCTTCCTGATAAGTGCATTGGAATTGTTTCCATCATTAATTAATTAGTTAATTAATTAATTAAAAAAAACAAATGTAGCCAACTCCATAAAATATAATTTAACCTATAATTTAATTTAGAAGCAGAGGAAATAGTTCAACAATTTTCTAAGTCATTTAAAATGAATGTATATAATTAATAACTTAAAGACTTTAATAATTTAATAATTAGCAAAGTTAACAGCCAATTACATAAGTAGTACTAAAATGAAATTCAAAAGTTATATAATGAACCATACAAATTTTTAAAACATAATTTAGATATATTTATGGACCATATTTCTAAGGGGGAACAAAGTCCTAAAATAAAGATTATAAACATATATTCTTGACTTCGTTCATGTTTTTCAGCTCTTTAGCATCTCAGAAAAACAGGTACTGTAATAAATTCCTTTTTTATTATATGTGAGAAGCATGGCAAGTCATTTGCAAATATTTTATGCCATTATAAAAGGGAAATACTTCACTGCTAATAGAGATCTCACAGAATAGCCACAGCACACTCAAACCTTGACAGTTGGAAATAATTTTTCTTAGATTAAAGGCCATCATTTGATCAGAAATTCCCATTGCTAAGGGCATGAATATTTGAAAATTTTTATCCTATTTGTAAGAAATACTCTATAGTAGAACACAGTTTGTAAGAAATACTCTATAGTAGAACACAGTTCATAACCAAATTTTAAGGGTAATTTACCAAATACTTGTAGTTGAGCATTTTTGGTCTAAGTTATGTTGCTGGTGATTATTTGAAGGATTAGAATGATTGTAACTGGACTCTAAGCCTACAACATTAACAACTCACCTTTATTAAAATACTTTCCTCATGGAAAATAGATATATTAACAACTTACATTTA